TTTTGCTCAACATTTTTTCCAACAATCTGCTAGCTGAATTACTACGCTAGAACTTTCATGGAACAAAAGTGCTTAATCATGACGAAGATTAAGTGCGAAATTGGGAGAAAGTGCAGAATCGCCCACAGCTTAGCGTGTTTTTAAGAACTGCACATATGCGCTATCCATGTACACGTCGACCTATTTTCACTTAAAAAAAAATCCAAGAATTGCACAAAAATGACATTGCACACACTCTTGACTTTATCTATGTACACATCGACCTACTTTCGCTTAAAAGGTCAAAGAAAATTGACAAATCCAATTTTTTTTACCCTTGTAAAAAAGCGCCAAAAATAAGTGGGCGATTCTGCACTTTAGCAGCGAAATTGTTTCTAAGTGCTTTATTAGCTAAATCACGATCGGAATTTTCCAGAAAATGTCACATGAAATGTTCATGATCTCTCATTTCTCTGAGACAAATAATCTGTGATTCGAACGTGTACTTCTCAGATTATTGCTAAAGTCCCTACTCAAACCTTTATCGCCTTACCAAAATATCGCCAAACTACCTGTTACCATATTCCAAAGATTAGCCTTTTATTCTTGTTCTTATTTAGTAGAATGTTAAGTTCATTTTTTTAATATGAATTTATGTCGTTATTTTTTTTTTATTTTTTTTTTTTTCTTAATTGTTTGAAATTTATTTTAGTCATTTTATTTTGTTGATTAGTGCGCAATACCTAGATTGTGCAATTTAGATGTTTTTTAAAGTTTAAACAGAACACTGTGTACACCTTATTCTTGAAATTTATTGTTGTTATGTTAATTCAAATATTAAAAAGACGTGTGCATAGTTCGCGGATTCCTTTGCTGCCTAGATTGTGCAATTTGTAGATTTTTTTTTTTAAAGTTTATTGTTGTTATGATAATTTATTCAAGCTAGGTGTGCGTAGTTCGTAGATTCTTTTGCTGCATAGATTGTGCAATTCTGTGATTTTTTTTAAGTTAAAACATATCACTGTGTACATGGATTCTTGTCAAATATTTTTGGTTAGAAACTTTTATGTTTTTGCTACCTAAATTTTTTGTTTCAGATTTTTAGCTTAAATTGTGTGTTCAAAACGTGGTTTTTGCAGACATTTTAGGGTAAAAGTTCGAAATGTAGACAAAAATTTAGGCAGTAATATGGCGGAGTGAAGTTTCTCGCCAAAAATGTTTGCCGAGAAATTTGGCGACCTGAGGGTGCATATAAGAGTAGTTCCAAAATTTCAATACTAATTGCTAATTTTCAGTTTGCACTACAAAATGCAGGACTCGGCATAAAGACATTAATTGGGTTAGAGTTGACTTTAGGGTACCCCTTGTATTATCACGAAGTTGTTGTTTCAATTATCGCTAAGTTGTTATTTCATTTATTGCCAAATTGTTTCATTTATGGTAACCTGAGTAGTTGAATGTTATGGAAACCCTATTATGATGTAATCATTTGCATTATTATGGGAAATTTTGAATCATGGGATGTTTTGTAAGGGCTTTTGTGGTGTGTGTGTGTGGTTAGGAAGTACATTGCTTACTATGGCGACCAACCCTGCTGTTTCATTGTTTAGATGGTACAATGGCTGAATGTAATAAGATTAATTTGAAGTTTCTGTACGATTTGGAATGAAAGGGGAAAATTGCATTAATTGACTGATGTGTAAATGAAAGTTTACTTAGTAGCCATTTTCCGGACAGTCTGGAACTACATAGTTTATTTTTTACTCCTATTTTTGTGAATTTATGTGGCGATGCTGATATAAGGATTCTAGCTCAGATAATTTGAGGAAGTTTTTGGATGCTGTTAAGGAATTTTGTGTGACAAAGATTAAAGACGAACGAATTTCTAAATAAGGTAAATGGATATTTGCTTTGTGTAGGCTTAAATGCATACAGGTTTTTGTTTTTTGCTTTTGGCTATCTTTAGATATGGTAACTGTAGTTTGCGACATTTTGGAGGCGATAAAGGTTACTACCGGGGACTTTGTAATAATGCGAGCAGTACTCAGTTCCAATTACGCTTTTTTGTGTGAGGGAAATGAGAGATCATGGGATATGTCATGTGATATTAATGGACGAATTACGGTTCTTTAATCGGAAAAAGGGGAGAAAATCGGGGAAAAAAATCTGGAAATTTGTATTTGGCTTTATTCTTTTGTGTGAAAACGTGTTCGTTAAGTTTTGGATCCCATGGCCCTAACTAAGTGAATTCGAAATGGGTATTTAGTGGGATTGAAAGGGTAGTAATAACTTTAAGGTTGTGCGAGATAGAAGTAAAGATGTTTTATTAAGTTATTTATTTTACCTGGTACCTTGCTGTGAAGTATAAGTATGATTTAAAGATCCTGAACAGAAATAAGAAGTATCGGCCTAATCAAGATTCTAAGAAATTAGGTATTAGTATTTTAATTTTGAGGTATATTTTATGCATGTTCTAAAGTAGGTGGAAGTAAAGTAATTTGTGTAAACGGCATGGAAATAATTTAATATTTGACACTAAGATTTGTAACCATTCGTAATGTTTGCGTATGAATTAGTTAGTGGCGTTTGTAATATAATAGATTTTAGAGTAACAGTTTTTGGATATTTTATTTATTTATACTTGGAAATGTTCATTTTGGAAGGGTAATACTTTTTCGCGATCAGGTAATTTCATATATGTTTTTTTACGGGTTTAAAGATTCAAAAAATTGTATGTATTTCGTGAAATTTTTCTAGTTTGAGAAAAAGGCAGTGCACATGGATATATGAAGAGTGTGCGCAATGCCCTTTTTGTGCAATTCTGGGATGTTTTGTAAGTAAAATAAGTCGACGTTGTACTATTTATGTGTATGTGTATTTTGAAAAACGCGTAAGGAGTATGGTATTGCACTTTTCCCAATTTTTGCAGTATTTGTCATGATTAAGCGTTTTGTTAGATAAAATTTCTAGCATAAGTGTAATTCGGCTAGTAGTGTTGGAAGAAGTGTTCTTAAGATAAAAAAGAAAAACCTGTCTTACGAGAGTTGGTCGCCGCCAAATTTTCGCCAAAAATCTCCAAGTTACCATAATGTAAAGATCAACCTCCTTTTTTTTATGTTATTTTATTGTTTGGTTTAAAATGCAGTTTATTGAGATTATGCAATTTTTTGTTGGCCTCTACTGTAGAATTGGGTGCTCCTTTGAGTTTTCAAGTGAAAATATATCAATATATACATAGACAGAGGTGCAAAAATCGCTACGCAAGCCAAAATAACAAATCAAAGCCTTGCACAAATTCAGTATCCATGTGCCGCCAAAAATCGCCACGTTTCGCCAAGGGGTACCCTAAAATATACTTTTACCATTAATTGTTATGGAAAGTACAGTTCAGTACGTTTTCGCATTACTTGATAAGCAGTGTATTACAGTTGTGATATTTAATTGGTGTCGATGTTTGCTGAATGCAAAGCATGCAGCACATTCTGTATTTTTAAGATGCTGTTAAAAGCTCGTTTTCATTAGCATTGAAATTAGTTTTTATATCAAAAACTAAAAGTTAATGCAAGTCCTGATAATATTCTTAAAGTTCAAAGTATGAAATTTTTACACCTATTTAAGTGAATCTGAATTATATTAATATTTTCCTTTATTTTATATCAATGCGAATATGAAAAATCCTACATTGTATCTTACAGTGAAAGGATTCTGCACATAATTAGGTATAGATATTTATCTGATAGAGTAAACTTCATATTACATTGTTTATGGCATTTTAAAAGTTGATAAATTTAAAAAGACCTTCTCTATTATTCTCCTTGAAGCTATAATAAACACCAAGTATGTTTCATGAGTCACTTATTTGACTATGTAAGAAGATGTATTTTAACTGATCAGAAATTACAGATTATCTGACGAAACTTCATTAAATATCACCAATATACCGTGTGATGACTCTAATATGTGTAGACATAAGAGATTTAATACTAGCAAGATCGCAAGTTAATATGAAGTATTTTGAAAAACATTCTGAATATAATGTGCAGCACTGCATTGATATGTAAAGCCAGTACAAATAAAGCTGCTATTTTGCCCCTGAAATGGTGAAAGGCAGACTAACCATATTTTAAGATGCAAAATGTATCTTAAATACAAAGTAATAAATAATACAAATAATACAAAGTAATAAAATGTATCTTAAATACAAAGCTAAGTAATAACCTTAACAAGATATCTGCAATAGTTAATTCAGTTAGAGATATCTAAAATTCATTCATTACAATTATCAAAAATGGAAAAAAGTAAAATACGGCATTAAATTTATTTAAATATCAATCTTTTTTTGAAGTTTCCAACACATAGTTCTAAAATCAGAAAACTATTTTTAGATCATCATGATTTTTTTCTCAATATACTACAGAAAACAAAGATTATAACAAATAACTGTTCTTCCTCTCTTTTAACCTTCACCTCACAGGTAAATAATGCAATGTTAAAATTAAGAGATCTAATTTGATGTAAACAGTTATGTTTAAAATAATTAGATTCATTGTAAATGTTTAATAAATAAAAACAAAGTTTTTATGACAACTGGAAAAAAGAAAATTTCACCACACAACACGTGAGAATCAAATTAAAGATTAAGATTTCGTTAACACACAAAAAATCAAAAAGTTCAAATTAAATCAGTAATGATTTGTGTGCATCTTACAAGTACACAAAATAAATTGTTCGCATATTCTAGTAATAAGAAAGATAATTCAGTCAAAATATCTTCATTAACTACAATTAATTACAGTACAAAAAAGTACTTTAACAATCAATCACAACACTAATACAGGGTTTTCTTCCCAAATAATACAAATTAAAAGCAATTAAAGTAACTGATATCCAAAATAAAACGGTAAATATGCTGAACTAATCCAATACAACATTAGAGATATAAATGTACGGTATACTAACACAATCATTTCATCTTTATAAATCAAATATGTTTAAATGAATTCAAATTAAAATGAACTCACATCTGTCCTTTGCTGCAAACGCTTGTTCATCTCATAAATTCGATAATCAGGTTGTCCAAAGTAAGGGGTTTGTCTCCTGAAATAGGATGAAAAAGGAGAGGAATAGAATGGGTCCATAGCAGGGCCACCAGGAATTGGTTGGCTAAACATTTGCTTCATTTGACAAATTTCGCTCTCATTACAATAAAGAACTGATTTGTAGACTCTGACTGAGTCTATACGAAGAAATTACTTTTCATCACATGTCAAATACATAATAATACACGTATAAGAGTTTGTTCTGTTAAATAACTGATCCATATATATGTTTCTTACACAGGAAAAATGAAACATATCTTACGAAGAGAGGTAAAAAATTCAAGACATGAGTAATACCAGTTACAGAATACTCGAAAACTCCTGCTTTACCAGAGTTACAGATGTTAACACAACAGATAGTTAAGCTTTACAGTGTAACAAATTTATGTCACGCAGATTTTTAAAGTGTATTAGGGGGACGCTCTGTAACTGCCAACTTTCATTCTGCATCTAAATTCTGTTCAAACAGCTATGCGATGCAAAATTCATGTAGTACTGTTCGAAAACACGGAATTATTAAATGTAGGTTAAATTTCAAACATCAACAATTTCACATTTCGTAAATTCGGCCATCTGTCTTCATACACACGACAGAAACACCACAAAATCGATCGCTCCACCATCTTCAGCAGTACTAGCGCGCCACCTAGTAGTATTGACCGCGAAAGAAACACTTTACCCATATAACCGTAACATACACAAAAAGTACAGAGTAAAAAAAAAAGTAGGTTGAATTTAAAATAACCTTCTTTAAATGTAAATAAATTTGTAATTTCTGAACTAAGGTATTTTAAAAACCACGGGAAATAACGCAGAATATTTTCAATTTGGCTGTGAACTAAAAGTTTCATTTGAAACAATTTTGGAAGATAAACATTTGATTTTTATTTTCATTAGTGAATGAAATTAGAAGTTCACTGTGCGCCCAATAATTTATACTTAACCAATGTCCGAGTATCTAAAATCACAGAATATTGGTGGTTCCTCCTGTGTTTTATTCGTAGAACCTGTGTTTTATTCGTAGGACGTAGGATCTGATTGCTTAGTATTTGTATGGGATGTCTCTTGTATATAATGTAAATACGAGCCAGCTTTCTCAAGAACGTCCTCCATTAAGGCCCCCCTCTCATGAAAAGTGACTTTCAAGTGCTTTCCCTTAATAAAATATCAATCGCTTAGTTTAAAAGAGATTCAGTAATACTAAGAAAAAAAAAAGAATCTCTGTATTCTTCCAAATCAGTTTTTATATTGATGGGAACTGTGTTCATGCTCTCAGTCAACGATCTGTCTGAAAAGTTATTAGAGTCATATAAAATAATTTATATCAGTGTAAATTAGACTATTTAGAGGATATGCTTTAAGAGATAAACTTTTTAAATATTCCAAAATAAAGTAAATGGGGAAAAAAATAACTTTTTCTGAATTCGAGTGAAGCTGTTCGCATAGTATTCAGAAGATGACTCCCAATCAGTTCAATCAGATGATGAGATCAGTCCTCGCGTTCTCTGCCATGATGACGAAAGTGCTAACAAATAATCAGTTTTAACCTGCTCACAAAAGTACTAATAAATCTGTCAAATAATCATGGACGGACTAAAATATTGTGATACCTTAAATGTTCAACAGCGTCTCTGATGTGATTTCAGGAAAGAAAAAAATTAAGCGTTATTTTTTCTGAATATCTTATTAAGTGTCCCATTAAGCTTAGCATCCAAGATAGCAACCATATTGCCTATGTTTTAATCCGCGACTACAATATAAGCATTCAGAGAATATAAGTATTCAGAGAATAACGTTTAAATTTTCTCCAGCCCATTTTACTAGTGAGAAATTAAAAAAAAAAAATATTACGATTTTGAATCTACTGAAATACATGGACATTTGACATACTTAGTATATAATTAAATCACTTCTGCAGCCAATAAGCGTTAAAAATCCAATAAGTGCGAAGTGTTAAAAAATTTATTTCTCTAAATTATGCTAATAATAAATTCCCTTAGTGTTTTATTTGTAAATGCTTGCAAATAAGAAATAATCAATGGACATCTTTGAGATAGTACGTTTTGGTGCTGCGGATATACGTTATAATTGCATCAGTTACAGCTCTGGCATATTTGACGATTAACTATTACATATGGATAAGATAGTTAAAGTACAGGGTTATCCAAATTAAACTTCCCCAACTCAAAGGCCTGTGCAGAGTGTTGTATGGGTCATAATGTGATGAAATTTTAAAAACAGGCACTTCGGATCATGCGCTCGAGATTTATTAAACAAAAAAAATAGTACAAGAAGTTGCCGATAGGTGGCGCTGCAGACCAACAAGACATTCTACATATGTTCTATATGTGTGCCGTGGTTCTCCACAATCTTTCCATTCGCAAAGCAGTGTGTTCCACAGCGGAACGCAGTAAGTCCCCATTAATTCCACGAACATGCCGAATAATTGCGTCTTTTTTTTAGTCTTTCAAGGTTGCTGGGTATTCTCGGTAGACCCGATCCTTTAAGAATCCCATAACCAAAAGTCGCATGGCGTGAGATCAGGCGAGCGGGGGAGGCCAAGCTGTAGGGAAACAATGGCTGATCACACGTGCATCGGTAAAAGCTGTTGCCACGTTATTGCAGTTCAGGGATAACAAACACGTTGTCAACAAGTCCTGATACCGTTTTCCTGTGACAGAGCAGGTTTTGAACCCTGTTGGAGTCACCTCTTCAAAAAATAAGGGCCAATGACGAATGTTTGCAGTAAAACCGCACCATACAGTAACCTTTGGAGGGTTCAAGAGCACTTGATGGATTGCGCGCGGGTTTTCACTTGCCCAAATGCGGCAGTTGACCATTCAGGTGAAAATGGGCCTCATCCGTTCAAAAGGATGTTCCACGGCCAAGCAGCACCGACTTCCATTCTGGCAAGGAACTGCAACGCAAATGTTTCCCGAACTACAGGATCCTGTCGGGACAGCTGATGGCGACTATGGATTTGTAAGGAAAATAACCGAGGATTCGACGCATCACACGCCAGACGGTCCTATAGGGCATATCAACAGCACGAAAAACAGTTGGCACACTGACAACACCATGTGGCGATTGGCTAATGGGGTCCACAACCGCCAAAGCAATGTCTTCTACGCGTGCAGATTCCCAACCTGTCGTCCTCAACCTGGTAAAATTCCCAGCTGTCCCGTTCTTTCGAACTTCTTCATCATGTCTCGTAAGCGCGTGGTGTCATTGGTCCTCGGCGTAAGATCTTCAGCCGACGGAATGCTCTTATCGCAGCACAGGAGTTCTCGTCATTCTGGTAGAAAAGTTTCACTAACAGAGCTTTGTCTTTCAAAGTCGCCATTGTGCATCAGCGAGCTGGAAACAACTGCTGTGTAAGGCCTGTCTTCCACTTTTGTAGGGCTTGTCTTTTGGATACATTGCGCAGAAGCTTTATTTCTGCAAATCACGTTGCTTCAATATGCACATTACTAGTGTTACAGCGCCACCTATCGGCAACTTCTTGTACTAATTTTTTTGTGTAATAAATCTCGAGCGCATGATCTGAAGTGTCTGTTTTTAAAATTTCATCACATTATGACCCATATAACACTCTGCACAGGCCTCTGAGTTGGGGAAGTTTAATTTGGATAACCCTGTATTTCACTAGAACAATCAATGAATATATGATACTGCAGATTTTGGATACGTATTAGGATACGTATCTAATTTAGTTTCTTTCCATATCATACTGATTTTAAACATGTATTCCCTTTATATATTGTAAAAAACGAAGTAAAGATGGGGATTTTTTGGGTTGCGTCTATCAATATGCATTTTATGTTGGAGGTTACTGATATGAATCCAAGTCAACTACATAGATAATTTCTTAATTTAAAAAAACCAAAAAAAAGTAAGGAACTGATTGAGATAAAACCATTCTTGCATGCCATGGGCTAAAAGTCATTAATGAGTTACTAGATACCGAACCAGTTACTAGTTGACAACTGCTTATTCACACTAAGCAATATTTTATACACTGATGGACAACTGCTTAGGACGGATCACGAACGGCTGTGTAGGTAAGTGTTAAAAGGTAAGTGTGTTTGAATGTCAAGTGAAATAAAATAATTCCGGAATACTAGGACATAGCAATAAAGATAATTTATTGTGTTCTGAATTCTAGAAGGCTTGGAAAAGCGTTAAACAGAATAGTCATAGTGTACTGAATACGTAAAAGTGAAAAAATGCAGCAACCATCCGCAGCCATTCCGGCGTAAGATGTCAGTTCGGAATATGGTCACCATGCAGGGCGACGTAAGATTCCACACATCGTGTCATACTTTGCAAAAACTTATCCAACAGCTGTTGGGGTAATTTATTCCATTTCTTTGTCATGCACGAATGAGGATGTCTTTGTTTATTGGAGGGCCTTGTCGACCAACAAAACTCTTCCCCAAAGCATCCCAGACATTTTCACTAGGATTCAGATCTTGAGAACATGCTGGTCATACGAGGCGTTGAATATTCTTGTTCTCTACACACTCCCGGACAACAATTGTCCGATAACGTTTAGCGTGGTCGTCCACGGAAAGAATTTTTTTTCACCGATAGCACCATGGAACATGCGAACATGAGGCAGTAGAACATTATTAATTTATCGTTGGCCAGTCATAGTCCCAGTTTCAACCACATGTAGAGATGTGCTGCCATTAATCATAGTGTCGGCCCATACCGTGATACTGCATCTCGGATACCGGTTCTTTCTAGGATTTCTGGACAATATGCAGTACTATTCTCAGATAAAGCTCTAAGTGCAGTACTATTCTCTAAGCCAGATTAGTTGGCGTCTATAATCCGGTATCAACCTGAACCTACTCTCATTTAAGAACAGTACACAAATCCAGTTCTGTTGAGTCTAATCACGATGCTTATGATACCATTGCAAACGAGCGGTACGTTGCTGTCTGGACAAATAAGTACTTCAGAGTTTTTATTTCTATTACTGCTTGAAAATGTAACATCAAGAGAGGTGAAAGAACAGTCGCTTAGAATTTTGATTCAGAACAGTTTATTTTAAACAGTCTTCAGAAAGAAGTTCAAATATTGTGCGTACAGCTGTAAGTGTTTTTTTTTTTAATCGAGGGAGGAATTTTTCTAAATTCAAATCAATTAAGAAAAACCTAAAATCGAAAAATGAGTATCTTGCGTTTAAGATATCACTGCGCTGTTTACAGAGCAGCGACTGTTGTAATGAACAACTTTCTAGAATGTTATCGAGGATTTTGCTAATAGATAAACAAGTAAAATACTACTTCAGAATGTTCAAATTAATGTTTCGTTCAAAAAATTAACACATTGCTTTTATTTATTTCTCTACGTGTTGTTTTGATACTTTATAGATTTCTCTGATGTGCCTTCAGCTTGGTGGCAAATAGATCGCTCCGAGCTACAAAAGCTCTAGCTGCATCACCATGTGATAGTTTGTAAGCTGCAGGTTCATAAAAATGCGAGTCCATTGCATATACATAAAACGCGAATCTGAAAGAACAATTTTAATTAAAGAGCTTTATAATAATTCCTAAATAATTCAGTATATACTTTAATTGCTCACTATTGAAGGGGAAAGACCTTGTACTAAAATAAATTTTAATGGG